TCTAATCTTCTATTTGAATAATAAAAAGGTGGTTGTATTAACTTCAATAGCTGACTATTTTTTACCAGCTTCAATGTTATATTATGATGAACATTAATGATGATTTTTTTAAGATCAGTTAATTTACAGACGAGGTGTTAAACTTTAAACGGAGTCTATATCGTTCATCGTGGGTTTCTAAGGACAAAAACTCTATTTAAGTCATATAAAAATGACATAGATCACGATATATATGATTTTGGCCTCAGAAACAAATACTAGCTGATCTTTTTCTAATATTGTTTTTATTGGATTTTTAATATCGTTTATAGTCTTGTAAATCATTAATTTTTAAACCAGTTTAACTGCGAGTTATTTGAACCGTTATCTGGCTCTGAGCTATTCTATTAAGTGTTTACTTATTATCTTAATTTTTTTCTTAACTACTAATTTTACATTTAGCAATTTAGTAGAGTTGCGATACTTCCAGCTTATATGTTAACTACGCCCGGCGGACTATTAAGTTACGTGCCAAATAAAGCACATTAAGCTTTCTGGATAGCTTACGAGTTATGTACGGAGCGCCACCTACCATTTTATATGCAAAACGTTAGTTGGAGTAAAGTATAGCACGTAAGAGCTTTAGGTCGCGTCGCAGTGCAGGCCGCTACTTCCTCGGACCTCGTTTCAATACAAGTTATTCAATTTCCAATACATAATAAATAAATATAGCTGTTAACTTATAAACTTACATAGAATTCGATTACTTGACAAGTATTCAGCCAGACCATTACATATGTGAATATTAGTTTGTCTTGTTACATCACAACACTTTTTAATTTTGTATTTAAGAAATAACATCACACAAGTAGCAATTCCTTAATTTGTCTTCTGTGTTACGAATTTTCTTCAGCGAAATACATACGTACATACAGCAAATATCTCAGCCTGAAGCTGCATACGTTATTCACTTGTTTCTTTGGTTATTATAACAAAATCCATACAACAACAGTAAGAGCAGTAAAAAAGGAAAACAAATGAATGTCCATAAATTGGGTAACGCCAGTACACACCTGTATGTCTGCATACAAATCTGTACAGGCCGCCGAACTGGCGCAGTCCGACCGTTTAATTAGGGGCGGTGTCCCGCCAGGGGGCGCTGACAAACGACTCGTATGCAAATCAACCCCTGATTAGTGAATATCCGCTAATCAAATTACTTCTTAACGAGGGTACGATAGTTGTAACATTGTTGACATGTCAGCGTGAACAGACGTTATCTAGTTATCGTAAAGTCAATATTTGTAAAATAACCTTTCATTTTCATAATTGTAGTCGTATTTTGTTTTATATAAATAAGTAGGTTATAGGATTACATGGGACGATTGAAGCATGTTAAAATATTCCTTTAGTAATCTGAATAATTTTAAATTTTCTTCTTCTTTTGTTGCCAAATCCTTACGAAGGTTGGTGATCATTATAGCAATAGCAATTAAACTCTAGCGCAGATTTTTCAGCCAAGATGTTCTTCTCCTATCTGGACAATTTTAAATACAATTTGTAGTTATAATTGGCATACTCAACAAAATCTAAAATGTTTATTAACACATATTATGAGCGATTGAAAACGAATTATAAAAAAATGTTTTAATAATTTCTTTTACAGTTATGATAAGTAAGCGTTGATTAATAATTAGTTTCAAAGCGCAGTGGTTATATTTAATGTGCAGTCCATTAATTAAACGATGCACAGAAATCGCAGCGCAATTAGTGCCTGAATCATATCATTAGTGTTGTTTGATTACTAGTCCGGCCGCTCTGGCCGCTCCGGCCGCCGCCACTCGCTATTTACCTTTATGCCTATTAATCAAACTGGCCGTAGCAGAAAAACTACTACGTAATACATGGTACGAGTTGAGCTACGATAATCGCTACGAATAGTACTACGAGCATATCGTAAGTGCACTCGATTCTAAATAGGATTATAGAGACGTACAAGGGATTAATTAGTTACTTTACATAGGATTAAATTGATTTTAAAAATTGTACAGGAAACAGTGAAATGTAGGAAAGTTAAATTAATGCCAGTGAATTGCTTCCAATTATTTTGAAATTTAATTGCGCAAGGTTAAAACTGTTAAAATTACATAATATTATTGCTATATAATGCATGTAATTTTATTCGATCCCCTGGACACATATATCTCCCAGATGTTAATTGAATTTAACACAGCATCACACTCTTTAATTTTTTGGTATGATTTATTAAGTGAAATGGGAATATTTTACGTAAATTAATTAAAAAGGCACGAAATATTTCATTACTTTCAATGAAATTAACGTGAAAATTACAAATGTGATATCGAACACGTTATGTAGCCTAGTTGTCGATGTTACACCGAGTTTTGATATAAACTGAATTATATAATTTGAATAAATTCTATTAAAAGATTGTTTTTTTTTCGTGTATATATACGTGTCTCTAGTTATAATACCATATAAGACGACGATCAAGTGTAATACATTACGTGTATACCCTACATAATTATCGAGCAGCGACTTCCGGTGGCGGTCTCGTTGACACCATGATATATGAACCTGAGAATCAATTGATAAGGCCCAAATACAGAAGCGAGTTAATCCTAATCAGTAGCGGCAATAAATCATTGTGGGCGGGCAACGAATCACGTATCTAAATACAAATAGCAATGAAGGCAGTAAATTGGCGCGGGCGGGCGGCTAGGCGGGCGGGCGGCGCGGCGGGCGAGCGGCGCGGCGGCGTTGTCTCCGCGCAAACAAATGACTGTGTATGCAAATGAACCGCTGATCACCCGACGCCGGCCAATCGAATCACTGCCTAACGATGTGGACTCTGCACACACATATTTTTGACCACTTTAATCGATACGATTAGTCTTTACTTTGACAAAACGGTAATCGGATTTAAATTGTAAAATGACTGATGTTTAACCATATCGCGGATCCACGACCTATCTTAATTCCCTTTCAAATTTTCCTTGCTAAGTCTTTAACAACTTTATTCTACGTATCAAGTCATCGGTATGCGAGAAAAAATGTTTAAAACAACGGAATGTTCAAAACAAACTAAGCCAATTAACATTTTGACGTTAAAGATAACTTCACTATACATTAAAAATGAATATCGTTCCACTGATCACTTAAACGAATAACAAGTATCTATTACTTGTAATTCCTTTCGGACAGATTTTGCGTCTGCTACAAAACCGGCGACTTGGATAAGAGAGTTAAATTACTCCATAGAGCAGTAGTGAGCCTTATCGTTCTTGTGAGAGAGGAACAGTAGTCAATTCTGTAAAGTTTGCCAATGGATTAGGGGCCGGAGGACAATCTGCAGCAATTATCTTAAGCTTAGAGCGCCGTGTGGGGTGCGAGGTGCGGGGCGCGGGGTGCGGGGTGCGGGGTGTTGGAGTTCTTAAACGTTCGCTCTGTGCAATCCGGGTTAATTGCTCGGGGTGACTTTTCGTTGACAGATACTAATCGGTATCGTTAGGCCGGCTCGTGGTTTTGTAGACTTAAGATATAACGACACAAATATATCTCTCAGATTACTCCCACAGAGTAGCCTCCTTCTTGTAATGGATTCAACTGATTTTTTATACGAGTAATTTATTAAAAGGTGCATTACTTAAAGCATAGGTTGTCAAAACCTGCAAATAATTTAGAACTTGTAAAATACTATAATATATAACCAGATAAATCTTCGATAGGTTATACTCCTATGTATGTGTTATCGGCTAATAATATTTATCTATTTATCAAACCACATAACATCGACATATTTATTTTAGAAAAAACTACGTACATTATGTATATAGCAATACCTACCAAAACATATATGTGCTAAGAGGACATCCGCGTATTGTGTTACTCTTTGGCAGAGATCATTTTAGGAAGATTGTAAGAACGGGATCTGCAATTATTGTGAGCTTAAGATGTTGAGTACAAGATCAGCCCTTTCTCTTGTTCCAATCCGCTTTTAATTGTTACGAGGGTACAGAGTCCCGACTCCAGATGGAACTAAATCCCTATTTATCCTCTTTCGAAGTTCAAGATGTAGCGACGTTTATGTTACATACAACTCCCAATATCATTACATTTACGATATATTAATATAATAACCTTAGCTGGTAAGCTTTTTTTTACTTCTTATTTAACTTAATAGTACTACTTCATGTGAGTTTTCTACAAATAATATAATAACTTAAAACATTTATGACTGGAGGGAACTTTTGGAGCATCACTAATTGACTGTTCATCATGTGTTAATAATATTTACACATACTTTATTGACGACGTGTTCACTTATAGCCATATATCACCTGTTTTCATGTTATATCTACTTGTCAACAAACTGATAAAAGACAACGGTTACCTGTTTACAGTTAAATGAGTAAAGGCATAATTTAACGTGAGAGGCGGTGATTGACAAACGACAGAGGGCACTATGAGTGAGAACCGCCGCGCCGACAGCCGCAATGGACGCATCTCCCGGTGACGAAGCGACCGCCTTACGTTCTTACGTCAAACATATCGTCTCTCTTCCGTGAGCAATAAGTGTCGGCTTACGTGACGACGAATTGACACACGATATATGAATGTCACAGTTTGCGATGCTTCAAAGTTCGGATCGTTTGTCTAATTTTATTGTCTTGACATTTTCAACACTAGGGAAATATGTCCTTTCGTTGATTTTCGAACTACGCGATTATACTTCAACCCAATTAAATCGCCTAATTTTTTCAATTTCAACCTTTAATAACTATTTGGGAACCTAACGTGTAGCATCTCCGTGACTAAGAACATAAAGTTATACAAAGTACAGCAAGTGATAGAGATCCAAACTCATGCTATCTCTCGTTACACTTTTTGCATCACTGTTGTAGATTAAAACCTATTTTGTGTCAAAAAGAAGTGACGTTTGTTTTAGAATTTAAGAAAAATAAGAACATGTGTGAGAACATGAATACAGAACCTGGAAATGTGAGGAAATAATAGTTTTATTGCAATCACAATGGATTAATAGAACTCGTGTAAATCTAACATACATTAGCAAGGTTATAATTTCTGTAATAAAGCTATAATTGAGTGTTGAATAAAAGAAAAGCATGTGCAATTATTGCGAGCTTAAAGCTCCAGCGGCAGATCAGTCTGTTCATTTGGTACAATCCTCTTTTAATTGTTACCATTGTGTTTGCTTTAATAATTCTGCTAGCTGTAGTTGCCACTGCTTTATAACAGAAATAAAGGTATGTAATAAGTACGGCACAATGAAAAATAACCTCTCACTTTTAAAATGCATGATATTGCGACATGATTTCAACAAGAGTCTGGATGGATGGAAAACTTAGCACATGGGTTAATTTTTAGTTTTGCATAATTTGCTATAGGTTATAAAAAATAGGGCAAAAATTGTAAGCAAGTACTCGTTGATAGGTAAAGAATCACGATAGATCGATTGGCCTCTCTATAAGAGTGGTTTGCGAGCAACTAACTAATGAAAACTTCGCTTTCTTTTTTTCTCTAACAATTTCCTTTAATATCTCGACTTTCAATGAAAATTTATTTTTTTAAATACTGTAATCAAAAGTTCGTTGCAGTCAAAGCCAAGAAAGAGTAAATAGAACAAAAACTGCACAGTTCGTTGGATATCATTACGGAGAGACGGATATTAAAGGTTAAACTGAAGGAAAATGTTATATTTTTAAATCTAATATCGCGACTATCCAATGAAATTGTTTTGCAGCGAGATTAAATTTCTTTTAAAATAATATTTCTGGAGGACACTCAAACAGTTAACACTTAATATTAGATTCAAAATAATGAAATGTAAAACCAACAACAGTTTACCTGCTTCGTATTTTCAGTAAATCTTAAGAGTAAGTGACCTACAAAGTGGTGAACGGATATACAGTAATATTCTAGAGAAGTAACCTTAAAACTAACTTGTCACTTGCGTTGCAGTTTGGAAACCGTACGAATCCATATGAGGCTATGTGAGGCTGTGAGACTTTGTTGGGTTAGAGCGTGTGGCACGTAATTGTGAGGTGGCGAACTCTCGGGGCTACACATCGACACTCATTGAAGGCTTCTTTTCACTGCTCGCAGTCGCTCACTACCTCGTTGCCGACGGAACAGCATTCTTTTATGTAATTCTTTTCGAAATAATCTTATACAGCTTTATTCCACATAGATTCAAAAAGTAATATTTTACAAAGTAGACTTTATGATCAAAGACAGTTGTTGAAGGACACGAGATGTTCCTCTCAAATATTTTTTTTAATAATTAATAATTGTATTACAATTGTGACCAAGATAATTTAAGTCAAAGGTTTATATTTAATTGATATGAAATCTACGAGCTTTTATGATTTGTATGATCACATACAAATCATAAAAGCTCAGTATACCATCAGCTAATAGTTGCTTCCTTAAACCAAAATCGCGGTATAAAACATATTGTTATCTTTATTTTGTCAAAGAAAATGAGAGGGATGATGATATGATTTATACAAGGATATTGTTGTCGGAAAGTGTTATATTAAAACTTGTGATAAGTAACTATTGTCGTCGGGCTTCAATTGTTAAAGGTTTAATGTTGGAAGGAGCAATTAAAGTTGCTGATCCTCGGCCCCTCTACTGGAGGCTAAGCTCTCGTTCGATCGCCGAGATTATAACAATGAACAAATAGTGGTCGAGTGCTGACCGACTCTTGTACTGAAAGTATTATTGAGTGCTTCGGAATCCATATTTCTTGAAAATTGTATAAAACATTTCAAATAACCAGTTCATGGTTCTATCGCACAAGTCGTAAAGTTATATCAAAAATATTTCTCAGACAATATATTTTCGAATTGACCTTATCTTTTTGTTTTAAATCAGTATTTATTTGCGAAGTTCTTATGATCAAAATAAGATAAACAATAACATTGGTGTGCTCGTTATCATCCGCTTAAAAGAGAAACAAAAAGGTAACAGGATGGTAACAAAATAATACGCAAGTGGAGGAGAGATTCATTAAGTTGGAATAAACATTTGCCATTTAGTATTTGTATTAAGTTCCGCATTCATAAAACAAGCGGCAAAATACAAACAGAATATTGTTTTGATTGTAATCAAATTAAAACAATCAACGTTTTCGTGTTATTTTCACTGGCAATTTTGCGGTGAAGCAGGTTGAGCGTTTTGTTTACTGATAAATTTACATTATAATATTTATGTATTGTTTGAATAAAACATTACCAACTTGCTTCTCACAATTTAGTTATGCACTTATTATCTCAAACTTATAATTAGAGGAAGTAGATTAAATATAAGTACATATTTGTATACATCGTATAATCACATTTGTAGTATAATACAATAGTAAATATAATTTGAAAGTTTCATCTTATCTTCTTACCTATTCTCAGACGTAAGAACAAAACTTTGGTGAGGCAAACTTGCATGCAGCCGAGCCGAGCCGGCAACTGCGATTCAGTCCACAAATGAAAAGTTTCACTTGCTCCCTCTTAAAGTTGGAATCCACTGAGAGTAACCGAGCATTTTTAAATATCAAAAAATCATTGATAATTTTTATAAAAAAGTACGTTAAAATACCATTATTCTTTAGTTTCGTATCTTACGGATGATGATAATTTTTACCCCTCTTAGCAGTAACATAATGAAATCTTGGAACATGTATATAACACTCTATGTTGTTCTTCGGCAAAGGCTGGAAGAGGTCAAAGTAGAAGGTTATACCTAAGTAAGACATGACCCTCTAGTCAAATAGTCTTCGGGATACATACATTAATAATAAGTTTAAATCTCGGTGTAACCCCGACCTTACAAGAACCGGACAGTTTCATTCCGAGCGGAAAATAAGGGAAATCATTGCAAAGTTTGATATGAGATCTAAATCCCATCTCACATTTATTATATGTCAACGTCAATTGTTGAACATCCGAGGTGACCTCTTGTTTGAATTTAGATTAAAGATTTCTGTGCGACTTTACTGAAGTGAAACCTGACTGTGATAGTCAACACTTTAATAGTTAATGTTAGTAAGATGTTTACGTTTTAGTTATAATATAATTTGAGTAAAGTTTCAATATTATTATAATGTTCGAGAAGATAACTTAGTTATGATTATCGTAATTTCTTTATCGATCTTAACGTCTAGAAGAGACCAAATTTAAAATTGATAAAAATTCTTAGTTGTAGTTTTAAAAGGGAATATTAATGTGAGATAATTAGATCAGCGCGCCTCGATCCAGTCGGGGACGATTTATCCTTTGTTGAATGCTAATAGCACGCCTTCTTTTTTTTACGACCACTTGCTTCCTTTCTTTGTATCGTCTCTTCCATTGTCTTTGAATTTATTTTTAAGAGTACCGTTTTCTAAAAAAAAATTAATAATGATTGCTTAAAAAGTATTATAATTTTTCTCGTTACGGGTTTTTGCGTTACTAAAGTTATTTATATTCCTTAAATACCTTCCGATAGCTTTTTAACTGTCTAAATAAAATGGAATTTCTTCTTAATCTAGAATTACTTTATAATTTTCTTATAAGTCTACCCTGTCCACTCTAATTGAAACGCAGTCGAACCTGGATAACCGAAAACTGGATAAGGGAGAAACCTTGAAGGACGTCCTCCATAAGCGAGAAAAACATAGTGGTCCCTCGGATTTTTGCTTATCCAGGTTGATCTATACCATTTTCCATAGTTAGAAGAGTTTCAGTAACAATATTTGTATGTGTATATAAACATAATCATTTAAAATCTGCTCACTTTATATTCGTCTCTGTGCTGACAATAATTTGATGCATCAAAATAATAAATGGAAAATTGTCTCATCTCATAAACTGTTGCAAATGTTGTACTTGTTAGCTTAAAAAGCAATCGATCGCTAAAGAAATAAAAGTGCCCGATCCCGGCCGCGCTCGACTCGGCTCGCCCTTCCCCAACTGTTTGCGTTTAATCCCCGATACGACCGTATCATTTTAAAACATGTAAAAAGTGTATTCGAACAAAGTTTTCAAATCGGGATTATCCAGCTTTCAATACATTTTCATTGCTTTAAATAGTTATTCAGGATTTTTTTATTTATTTAAATGAACAATAAACCGTAACGCTGACAATTTAAACATTTGTGAAAACGTGAGATGTACTGATATTATTTAACTGTTTCAATAAGTCTTATTTATTTTATTTATATTACTAGAATGTTGTCTAGTAAATGAAATAATATTTATAGTTTTTGTCAACTATCTCATAACTCAATCAAAGCTGCGATGCTTTTATATGATGCATCAATACTGTTTTATATTTAAAGGTATCGATTGTTTAAATTTGCTTTGAGATTTCATTAATATTCTAAGTTCTTGCTGTGATCTGTTATTTTTTGATAAAAGCTTTTAAAAGCTTCATAATTATATCTAAGGAATTCTAATGTTAGATAATTATATTTCTTTTTGTTGATTCATCTGATGAGCTCGGGAAAGAACCTTTTGTTAGTCGTTAGCGTCTCGTTTCCTTTGTCACCGTCTCCTTTCTCTTTAATATTCTATTGTCTTGTTACTATCATTTTTTAATTGCAATAAATGTGTTATCGTTTTTGTTCATTATATTATATAAACGAGTGGATCAGGATATATAAAAGATATGAAGTCAATATCGCGTATGACAATGGACAATCGTTTGAAATAGTCGTTACTAACCACATAATACTATTATAGTATTCCATTTTTAACAAATTTGAAATTCAGATTTGCATGTATTTGTTTTGCAGAAACCGATACTTTCTGCATAAGAGTAAAACTTTTTCGTTTTCAATCCTTCTTCAAAATTGCATAGATTTTATATAGACTCCTAGCCAGAAGTAGGTTGAACATACTTTTCAAAAGACAAACTAAAAAATGTTTGTTACCACATAAAGTATGTCTTTCCTTTTTATAACAACTTATTTATTGTGTTTTTTTTTGCAGCAAAGTTACTTCGTAAAACTAAATTTAGAAAAAAAAATAAAAAAAAATCTTTAGGAATTATTTTTTCTACAAGTAAGAGTCTTAAACAAGTTTCCTTCTTTCTGACTATATACCTCAATGTATAGAAGGTTTTGTTTTTTTTATTCCATTTCTTGTAAACATCGTGGCCACCCTACACGTCGCAAGTAAGATATGAGTTCATTGTAACAAATCAAGAACTTTCCTCCAGCGCGTCGAATAAAGTAGGCGCTGTTGCTTCCTTTTTGAAAATTTAAATTTACCTCTATAACTTGTAGAAAACTACTTTACCCTACAGGAAATCCTTATAAAAATACATATAAGACGTTGTATAATACATATATGTTTAAATTATTATTATAATTAAGTAGTATACTGTATAAAACGTAGTAAACACAATAGTTAAAATAAATCGTATAAAAAGAATAAAATTCCAATAATTTCTTTTAATATTTGCTTCATTTAATTCATTGTAACTGAATCCAAAAGCGGACTTTGATAAAACCAATATGAAAATGGAGCTCGATAGAGAAGTTTAGAATGTGAGTTTTACGAAACCGCAAACAAAGACTCGCGGCTCCCAGACGCAGGCAAAGTGCACTCCATATCGCCGACTTTAGTATCGCCAAGTTTGTTAAATTGTTAAGTCAATTGAAAATAAAACAAATATATAATAAAGTATAATCTAGGAAAATTTAATAACATTCTAATAATGTGTAATAAATACACTGATTATTTTGTGACTAACATTGAAACACAATTTTAGTTTACACATATTTATGCACAATTTAAATTATATTATCATTAAAATATACTTAAAGCAATGTTTTCATTCAATTAATATTTAAATAGTGTTGCTATAATATTGTACATAAATTCAGATTAATCCCGGTATAATCGTATTAATGACTTCCATTATTTCATGGTAACAATTGGTAATTACTCGCTCGTAAAAAGCAATACGCTCGAAGTATACTCAATATTCCATTATACGTATACATACCATCAGTAACTTATCTAATTTTCAATTGTTTCCAAAAGCTTCGTGTTATAAGTACACAGAAATATAAAAAACTGTTTTTAATGTTTTAATTATTCAATTGAGTGTCTGTTTCTGCGTAGCACGTAGCCCTTTCTTCCTACAGCAAAGGTGTACCATTTACCCTTTTTATTAATTGTTTTTTTCAAGCAAAC